ACTGTTCCTACTTATTCTTGATAAAAATATCTTCTTTATTGCTATACATTTATGATAATTAATTCCTCTCTTACGAAGGTCGAACTTACGGTATCCGTATCATCTCATACTTCAGTAATTATGTCGTAACAACGCCAATTCTTTCGTATTAATACGAACCGGTCGTCGCTTTGGGAAACTGCGTACGACAGCCGAACACAGAATATAATTTAGACCGCGGGTTATTCTGCTCTCCGTTTTCAGAATCTAGGTCCGTCTTTTACTCCATAAAATTTGGCAAAGAAATTTGTCGTGTGAAAAGGAAGATATCCAGGGTCCCTTAGAAGCGTATTTATGAATGAAAAGTCCGAAATAAATTGTGCAAGCAACCTCTTTTCTTCTTTCTTTCCTTGGCACTAAGCCCCAGTGGGCCTAGGCCTTCCTCCATGAACTTCTCCGTTCAGCAATCAACCTCTACATCCCTTAAAAGGTGTCAGATTCATTATAACAACTCCAAATCTCTCCAGCTATCTCTTTAGCCTCCCGTAAATAAACTGGTTTCTCCTCAAGAAACACTACTTCGTAATAAGGTCAGAATTCGGAAAAGAATATAGCTACCTGTTTCTTAACGTGAATGGCCGCGTACTTTGTTTCATTACTGACATAGCTACATATTGTGACGTATTTTCTCAAAGCAAAAACTGTAGAGGCAGGGAAACAGCCGTTTCTAGGTAATGGCCCATACACATGCGGCAGAGGAACGTGTCATGTACGCTGTGACATCATGCAACAATAGAAGAGATGTTGAAAGCAGCGTTCTCTGTGGAACCGCGACACGCTTGTTGCTCCACATCTGTGCGGTAAACACATCTCTGCAGCACTGAAACAACACCCAAAAATAGAGGAAGCGATGTTTTCTGTGGGTCCGCCCCGAGGCCATATTACGAGTATCTCTCGCAGCTAGAATTAGAGGCCGTGTGGAGGCGGGTTAGAATACTTCCACCATAGCCCTGCGAGCCGTAGGAGAATCGTCCACTGTGTCAAGTATGTTGCCAGGAAACGGCTAGTAAAGTCTGTAATAGACTGATGGCACTAGTGTGTGTAACGGTTAACTGTAAATTGTGTAGATCAGCGACAGCGCTGTAATTACGCGTAGTTCCGAGTGGAATGTATAAGGTGTGAATAAATCCAATCATCCAATCCAAAACCCGTCTATAAGTCACGCACACACCCTACACGTGACAATATCCTACTTTACCTGAATTATATGGTCAATTGACTTGTGAATCTGGCCATCATTTTGAGGGCTGCGTCTAAGAAACTTCCGGAAGAACATTTTAAATGCAGTCTGTTTGTATCGTGTTAATTTCTGAATCGATGTGATCAATTATTATATCGCAAAGAACATTCTGATCTATTATTCGATGAGACACAATATAACAGCACAGACTTTTAATAGCCGAGTGCTAATTTTAAATTGAAACGTTTAACAGATTCAGGTTAGGGACGATAACGAAGTCCGTAAAGGGAGTAGGCCAACGGTTGGACAACTGATGAATCTGGCTTCGGTTCCCGTGTTCATAACGGCTCCTCAGAAATTCCTATTTCGGTCCTGATTAATCCAATCCACGGGGAGCTGGGGAGAATATTTGGACCGAAGGGAGATGAAGTGACAGGAGGTTGGAGAAAACTGTATAATGAGGAGCTTCATAACGTGTACTCTTCTCCAAGTATAATTAGAATGATCAAGTCAAAGAGGATGAGATGGGCAGGGCATGTAGCACGAATGAAGAGGAATGCGTATAAGATATTGGTGGGAAAGCCAGAAGGAAAGAGAACACTAGGAAGGCGAAGACGAAAGGGGGATTAACATTCAAATATATACTATTAGAGAAACGGAGTAGGTTGGTATGGACTGGATTCATCTGGATCAGGACAAAGGCCAGTGGCAGGCTCTTGTGAACACGATAATGAACCTTCGGGTTCCTTAAATGTTGAGAAATTTTTGAGCAACTGAGCGATCGGCAGCTTCTTAAGAAAGGCTCGGCTTAATTAAGTTTTAGTTAATTTCCTTGGTTCTTTTGTTAGGGATATCACAGTATACGTTCCGTTATGATTATGTTTCTTAATGCTATAATTTTATATTCTTTTATAGGATTAGTGCTGGCATATGTATTTCTTATTTCTGTGGAATTTTTAAGGTTACACGGACTGCTTGTTGCCTGTGACAGATCGCTGAATAGAACTGCCTATTAAAGTATGCAAATGACAAGACGGTGTTAAGTGGAACGTCACATTTCCTGCATTAAGGACTGTGAATGAAAGTGTATCTGAAGACAGTGTTATTAAACCACATAGGCCCTTATTAACATGTGTAAAAGTCCGGACTTTGTGCAGACAACCAACGAATAATTCGACGTGCTTTACTAAACTTTTATTAGAAAGGTCATTAACTACTACTTCCAAATAACTGTAGAAGTAAGATATGGCGCTTCCCGCCAACGTGACCGTGTGATATTTGCAGATTCATACAGCCATAACCGAGACCGACCACCAAGACAGGAGTACGTGTGAGTTTGGTCAGTTTTTATATTCGAATGGTGAGCGATATAATCGTATTTCCAAGTAACCATTACCACTGCAGAAGCATCTTCAGTGCCCGACCGTGCAGAGAAAGAGGTTTTGTAAACGAATAAGTAAGTAACTAGTTAACTAAGCAGTTAACAAATCGAGAAAATAAATAACTGGCCAATTGGATAAGTAACCAGTGCTGTGGGCTTCAAACAAGACGGCTGTTGGCTGTTAGCTGCGAGCTACGAAATGTTGTCCTGTGCGCTAGTGCTTTTTACTGTGAGAGATTGTTTGGGCCCCCGCACGTCCACGAAGCTGGAGAACTACTCCTTGCAGGGTCTCCGCAACTGATTATTCAACATATCCGTAAATGTCCTTCACATCTGGAGACCTTCAACTCAAGGACGACAATCGATCCAGATTTTACAGATTATGAACGTGTTTATAATTGATGGAAGAAATTTTCGTTTGTAATAGGTACCTAGACAATTCCCACAGCTGCAATCACTACAACCGACACAAGTCAGAGCGTCCACGTTTATTAATGTGTAAAGACGCTGTAATGCCCTGTGTTGCTGCGGTTTTCAACTTTTCCCTCTTAGAGACACCGTGGAATTTCAATCAGTATCACAATGATCAAGTCAAGTATCATCACAAAGTAGTCTCTGTACATAGTGTACGTATGTGTATGTCTGTGTAAATACTGGCATGTATACCTACGTACTCAGAGAACTGAGCCCTTCTTGAGGAGCCGCCAATTCTGCAGCTACTCAAGAATTTCCCAGCATTTTATGAGACCCGAAGGTTCATTACCGTGTTCGCAAGAGTCTTCCAATGATCCCTATCCCGAGCCAGATAAATACAATCCATACCATCCTATCTCTTTAAGAGCCATTTGAATATTGTTCATCCAATTACAAAGTAGATAACTTGCAGTCCAGTATGACATAAAAGTTTACAACACTTCAGTCTTTATTCGCCTTACATGTTTCGATTCAAAAGAATCATCTTCAGAGGCGCACCACTACGAGCAGGAAACACTGTCACATAAGATGTTTTAACATTATGCAATTAGATTATGAATAGTGCTCACTATATCACAGATTGTCCTATGCAGCCACGTTGACGTGTAGATTCACGTGTGATGTTTCGTTTAAGCGTACTTGCTGGGTATTCGATTGGGTTTTCCCACTGCACGCAATGTGATGTTCACTTTTCCATAAAATAACTTCCCTATGTATTTAAAATTGTATTAAAAATCTTTTGTATGTAAAAAATTAGTTATTATATTAAAACTCATGAACCAGCATTGGGTCATGTTGTTTTTTCTTCCGGATTGTAGAAGATGTCGATTATTTCTCTTGGTTGTATGTTCTGTAAATATATTATTATATTAATTTTTATTTATTCTACTGTGACGGACCAGAATGAGACAAATCAAATTGTCCATCCACCTGAGTCTTGGTCTTCCCAGTGGTCTCTTTTATTTTGGTTTTCCCACCAATAGTATCATGCATATATACATGCATATATTAAGTGTGTATTATTCTTTACAAGTTATTCTTCGCTCCGTTTATGGGCCTTAACGTTTCAATAACTGTCGCCCCGATCTGCTACATTAATGTGGTGGGGAGGTTGCGTTCCCTGTTCATAAGGAGACCTATGCTAGCAAGAACAAAGTCTTTTGGTATTGTCGCCCAAGCTAGATAGGTCGAAAGGGAGGGACCAGACGAATAGTAGGCCTTAGTCCTCCAGCCTTGATGCAGTATATGGGGCTGATAACCTCATCTTCGGAAAAAATATGCCTATACGTTAAGATGCCTAATGGCGGAGGACATGAGACGACAAACAGACAGCTGTCGTAAAGGAGGTCAAGGTTTTTGATGACTATAAAACCAATATGGGAGGAAGTACTTATATGAGTTTCTGTAATATGCTTAAATTTCATAGGATATTTAACGGATTACCAATAGTTTTGGAGAGCACTAATTAACAGAAAGAGAGACAAATAAAACATTGAGATTAAAAACCGATATTCGAAAAAGATCACAAACCTTACATATATAAATAAATATGAAAAGTAGGCTTATTAAACCAACTGTTATCAAAAATATCTTTGTACACTGGCTGAAAAACACTACTTTGTTGTACCATACCACGGCTTGCTTTGCGAAACCGAGAAAACATCGCAAAACTTAAGTAACGAGGACCTGCCTTGTCTTATGATTTCTGGTAACACCATAATTCGCTGCTGTGCAGTTCCTAAAATGTAAAATATTTCATAGAACTTAAACTTCTCAACAACTAAGTAAATAAATCCACAAACTGCAACAAATATTCCGTACGGGATTGTTACATTTGTTGTCAAACATGTGTACTGTTTGGGCTTCCGGCTAGCACCGTCTCACTGCCGTTAAAATATGTGATGAATTCACACGGTGCCAACTTACTTAGCATAGGCCTTTTCCAAAAGTCCCGGCCAAAACTGTTCCGAGCTGTGAGCTTGCAAGAACGCCAGTCTCCCATGAACAGTGGGCAAACGGTCGTCCACAAGTACCTCCACCCATTCGCCACACCACCACAACCGGAAACGGAAGACACCGGCGTACTGGTCAGGGGCCGAGAAGGTCTGGTCTGCGGGTACGACTCTGTAGAAGAGACCCTTGCTGAGGTAGAGGACCCCGAGGCAGGACACCAGCCAACGGTCACCTGAAACAGCACAAATACAGTTCACATGTCTGATAGGTACATAAATGCAGTAATAAGATTCGTAATATAAATCAGTTTACTACTACTACTACTACTACTACTACTACTACTACTACTACTACTACCACCACCACCACCACCACCACCACCACCACTACTATCACTGCCACTACGATGGTTACTACTACTACTGTCTGTGCCATTACAAGTTATCTAATTTAAGAGTAGAATGGTTTCCATAAGTTACGAAACACCTCAGCCGGGACAGCCTGTAACCCAGCCGAGATTCCAATTAAATATACACAATATAGTTTACAAGCGTTACCGCTACATTAACCTGTTCAGAAATTTTCTAGAATGGCATAGTCAGTATAAAGACTTGGCTATGGGATCGATGACCTAGGAATTTGAATTCGATTGCTGGCAAAACAAAAGACTTCTCCGAAATGTTTAGACCGGATCTGTGGCCCAACCAACCTTCAACCCAACGGGTGCCGGAGCTTGTTCTCCCAGTTGTAAAGCGGTCAGGGCGTGAAGCTTACCACTCGCTTTCATCCCGCACCGAGGTTAAGGATGCTTGAATCTACTCCTCCACTCCACCTGTATCCTTATGATGCAAAGTTACGAAAACGGAATTGTTCAATACTGACAATTCAACACAGCTCTACGAATCGCTCCATGTGACTATGATAAAAACATTTACAAGATAATCAAATAGCACGAGGCTACCCCGTCAACGTACGTCCCATTTTGTTCATTCGTTTTGCGACAGTTACTAGAACATTCCTACTCGGTCCCAAAGTTGCTGAAGGAGTGAATCGGTAATAATTAACCCTCAATGTGCAAACGTCCAGTTCTAAGTGGTGCAGCGGTCACAGCCTTGAGACACACTAACAGCGGGTTCGCGATATCCACCACAGTTCATACAATGAATGTCTGTCAGTATTTCTCTTACATCTCGTGTAGCCAAGCTTTGCCATGCTCTGACGCCCTTTCTGAAGTGTGGTACAGTTTGCTGAATAACCGCCTCCATAGAGCAGACCCTTCCATGCAAGCCTATTTACTTTTTGATTGTACGTAACTAGTCAACGGCGATGTAAGACATATAGAGTGGAACCTCGCTTAACGAGCATAATTCTTTCCAGAATCTTACTCGTAATGCGAAACACTCGTTAAGCGAAACAATTTTTCCCATATAAATTAATGAACGTAAAATACGATAATGCGTTCCATGCCGAAAAAAATACTAAAAAAAATTTATGTATAATGTTTATTCAAAGAAAATTATATATACATTGTTAAGGAGCGTGAATCATCTTCATCTTTTCTTCTATGCGGAATGAATCAACCTGGAATGCGAATTCGATTTGCAGAAAACAAAAAAAAA